CAGCAGCCAGTCGCCCTGTGATCCGATCGATCCAGGGACCGAGGGGCGAGGGATCAGACTCCAGGATAGAACACCTTCGACCGAGGGATCAGACTCCAGAACACCTTGGATCGATCTTCGATCCAAGGACCGAGGGATCAGACTCCAACACAGGCGAAGTGAACACCTTGGATCAAAGGTCCTTTCCTGCAGGCTATAGCGATCGAGACGAGTAGGAGGACTGGAAGAGGAGGAGGAGATCGATCCCCGATCCCGTTTCAGCGCTGGTCGCTCGATGGCTCGATCCTCGATGCCCTCGTTGCTTCGACTCCAGCAGTCCAGACCACTACAGCACCCAGCAGCCCAAAGCGCATAAGTTTTCTTTAGTACTAGGCCTTTGTAAAAAAAATTTGGGGCCCCCCAAAATTTTGGGCCCTATGCGGGCCGCACTTTTTGCACCACTATGGGCCCGGCCCTGCAGCCTATGCTTCCTTGTCAGGAGGATGTGCGCCACCCTTCATGTTGGTGGCTTGCCATGCATTGGCACCCTTGTTCGCCTCGCTGTAGATTCAAACTTATCGCAAAAACAAAATTTCTTGGAAAAAGTGTTATGTAAGGCGTCACACATGGTTGCGTTTTTAAAAATGTGTGCGGTGGCAGGCTATATCGACACACTTAAAAAAAACTGTGCAAGTCATCACACACGGTTTCATCGTATAAACTGTGTGCAATGATAGGTTACATTGCACACATGTTTTTTTAATAAAAAGCATGAGCAAGACATGAAGTACGGTTGCATTTTTGAAAGAGTGTGCAGTAATAATCTACATTGCACACATTTTTTTTGTCATAACCGTGTGCAAAGCATCACATATGCTTGTGTTTTTTAGAATCATGTGCAATGATAAGCTACATCGCACAAACATGTTTCTCAAAAATATTTGCACAACATCGCACACGATTGCATTTTTGAACTGTGTGATATTACAACATCACGTGTTTTTTTCCTTGAACTGCCTGTGTATCACACATAGTTCGGTCCAGGGCGTACGGTAGATGTGTCTTCTTAGCCCCATTATGTAGTAGTGATAGAAAACTTTGCAGATATGTAATGTTCCATGAAATTTCATAATATCTAATGGATGTTAAAGCAAAGTCCTGATTCATATGAAAGTGCGATAATTTGATAGAAAACTTCCCAATTATTACAGTCCATGCATGCTTAAATAGATCAAAGCTCGGGAGCAGGTTACCCCACAATATGTGAATGCAAATTTACATGCATGGTCATCACTTCTTTCCTGTTCATGTACTCATTTCACGATCCATCCTTGTACATATCCACGAACGGTTCATGATTGTGCCTGCTTGACACGAAAAAGAGATAGAGATTTGATTACATCTTTCGGATGGAATATTTATTGCTTTGGTAACTACAATGTGTATATCTCAAAAACCAGTCCAATAAATTCTCCGACAGAGGAAAAATATATTTCCTTCCTTTTTGTTCAAATGTTTCAGGTGTGACAAAGCACGACATGTACAGATGAATTGAATGCATCAAAATGTCTAAAAGAAGGAATGTCCTAATAAGGTAACACGCAGGCAAAAATATGGAGAAGGGGGACAAAAAGATAAGAAACTTTCGCGCAGGTGCTATGTTATATAGGAGTATTTGAAAACCACTCAAAAGTGATGATGAAATAACAGAAGTGGCCGCACATAGATTCGAAAAACTATGTAGAAGTATGGTGGCTAAACTGAGAACTAACTTTCAGTTAGGCATTTTTGCTTTTCTTTCTGAAGCATGTACTAGCTCCTGCAACTATGAAGAAGTAATCTCTTTTTTTTTTTTACACACAAGGCAGGAGCTCTGCCGATTTCATTAGGAGAGAAAAAAATGAAGTTATCTTAAAAGTATTCACGTCCTAGTCGAGGGTTTAACTTTTTTTAACAAAAGGAGTATGCATTACTGATCACCGTGGTTATAAGAAGGAAAAAAGGTGTGTTCACCATTACCATTTAGGGGTCTTTTCTGTCATAACAGATGTCCGAGATGGCCCCGCTGCTTTATGACTGCAATCATGAACAAGATGGAAAATTAGGACATTTTCTAGGGATGGATTATCGGCATGACAAAACGTATCCGCCAAATTATGGTGCACTAATTTGGGCAGTATACATATATAATTTGTTGTTTTGTTTGAAATATACTAGAAGCAAATTATTGCACATGAAAGTGACTCAATCAAATTAGTAAGAAAAGGAAAAAAGATTAAAAAAATGTTTGCATGAATTTCCACATAAAAACAATGACATAGGACTTTGATGTGCAATACTTAGGGCATATCTAGATGCACTTTAGCAAAACAGATACTCCCTCTGTAAAGAAATATAAGAGTATTTAGATCACTAAAGTAGTAATCTAAACACTCTTATATTTCTTTACAGAGGGAGTACTAGAAAACCTTAATTGTAACTGGCAAACTTGTTTGAGCATGGCTAAGCGTGTGGTATGTATCAGAAGAACGTACGAACCTGTCTAGCTCTGCAGGAGTCGGCTGCGGTTTGTGCTTCTCCATGGTGATGGTGATGCCCACAGCGGCGCAGGTCTCCCCGCACAGCATCTGCCTCGTCTTGGCGAAATTGGCCCCGTCCCCGACCTGGACATCGTACAGCAGGTCGACGGCTTTGTCAAGCACCACCTGCCGGTTGCCGTCCGCGCCGTGCGTGGACCACCACGTTCCGGCGAGCTCCTTGCCGGTGCACGTCTGCGACCTGAGCATCAGCAGCTTCCGCAGCCGCGCGAACGACAGCTTGTCACGCAGGAGCGTGGCCACGTAGTCTGGCAGCCGGCGCCCGCGCCGCGCCTCAGGGAGGCCGAGCACAGCGTGGTCCCATACGAAGCAGTGGTCGTGCGCGAGCGCCAGCGCGAGGCCCAGCGACGTCGCGTTGCCGCGCACGGCGGCCACGGTTGGCACGGGAAGCTCGAGCAGCAGGCGGATCACCTCGGCGACGCGTCCCGCCAGGTGCTCGGCCTGCTCCTCCGACTCCGCGTGGTGGTCGTAGTCCAGGCCGGCGCAGAACGTGCCGGCCTCGCAGGTGGTCACCAGGCCTTTCGCCTCCGCGTTGTTCCCGACTTTCTTGAGCACCTCGACGAGTTCCGTGATGGCTTCCTCGGTCAGGTAGTTGTGCTCGTCGGCGCTGGCCATCGTGAGGACCAAGAAGCCATTGCCCCTGGACTCTAGGCGGCAAAAGCTCATTGCTTGTGGAGTACTATAATTAGCTAGCTAGCTAGCTCTTAATTTGGGATCCTGCTGCGGCAAGAGATGGGAGAAGAGATACCGCTGCTCCATATCTGAGTCCACGGTGGGGTTATGTGGTAATGTGCAGCTCTTACTTAACCATTTGGGGGCTTTTTTGGCCATTGAAACTTTCATAACAGCCCACGATGGGATTGTTTGACATTGTTACCAAGCTGAGGAGGCTCTTTGGAAGGTTCATTATTTAGGCTTCTTCAGCTAGCTCGGGAATAGATAGGGAGTTGAATTTTTCTGTTGTAGTGGGAGCTCTAGGGTTAGGAGAGAAGTGAGCCCATTTGATCTACAAATCCACGCAAAATCTGAGTGCTAAAATTGGGGATTTGGAGCCTCCCCTTCTAGTTGGCTTCCACCTTGTACCGGATTCATTTTTATAGTGGAAGATTGCTCGCTGTCGCCCATGGTTTCTTCCCCGCAAGGGATTTCCACGTAAATCTTTGTATCTCCAATAGATTTGGTGTTTCTCTTGTCATATTGGTTGCTGCTCAAGTGCTTGCTTGTTATTGGTGCTTATTGGTCAAGTTTGGCATGGTTTCTTTGTGTTGACATTGGAGGCACGCCATACATGAGTTCCTTCAGATGTTGATGATTATGTTGGGGTATTAATATTGTAGCGAGCTTCTCTTGCAAGTATATTGCTGTGGCAATATTGGATAATTTCATACTTGTGGATTTCATGATATGGTTCAGATTTTCTACATGACACAAGGTGTTTGTTGTAATACTTGTGAAGATCTAGCTTACTATTTTGGTCCCTTTCGCTGCCCCTCCACGCTCAAAGGTTATATAAGTATATCAAACGGCTTTTTTAGACGAATACTATATAAGTATGCAGTACTACTATGACTATACAAAATATGGCTAGACAAATTACATACGGATTTTTATGAGAAGTAGAAATACAAAAGGAGGAAGATGAATGTAACAATGACGTGACTCAAAATGCAAAATCTTATACAGAAGATCATCCTCTTCGTATCAGGATAAATAAGATTTAAAAATTTAATGATTTCTTACCATTTAATACATTACAAAGAGAGGGAAGCACACTCCATTTAGAAATTAGAGTAGCTAGCTGAGAAAATATACTGTCCGTTCCAAAATATATGATTTATTAAAAATAATTAATGTAAAAACTCCATCTTTGAAAAACGTTATAGTGAAAAATAACAAGATCCATATCACCCAAAAATAAAATATGAAAATATATCTTGTGATGGATCTAATTGTAGTGATTTGTTTTTATAAATATCGATATTTTTTCTCCAAATATGATCAAACCTATAATATTTGACTTTTTTTTTCTAATAGACCCTATGTTTTGCAACAAATAACAAACTTAGTTCCCTCAAAAAATGATAAGTTACTCTAGATCCAATTCTCGGCCATGAAGTCAATTTGTCATAAAAAAAACTCCAAAATCGAAAGCGCAAACATTTAATTACCTTATTATCGCACAAGATGATAACAATTGACAGTTCAACTTACAAGACCGATGATGCATAATTAAATTTGGTACATAATACACAAATTGCGATGAAATGATCATCTAGCCAACCTGAATATGAAGTGACACCCTGCAACGCAAAAGTTATTACAAGACAATATGGAATGGTCAATTTCGAATTTCAAGGAAGTAGTAGGGAGAAACAAATTAAGGACGGCTAGCGTGCTGCAAGCATAGCTACTGTAGTTCATAGTTCATTCAGGAACTAGCTGGAGAACTGAGACTGCATTCCAGGACTCCCGGTACAGCTGCTTCCTCATGTCGGCATGCACCTCGCCGTCGCTGCCGGCCCATTCCTCGACCAGCTTCTTGGCCTCGACCAGCACACCATCTGGAGTGCCGGCTTCACAGTCGGCGAAATACCATTTCCTCATCCAGTTGCCGCTGCGCCACCGTGACTTGAGCGTGGTCAGCGTGTACCACCGGTCCGTCTTCTCCCGGACCAGCGAGGCGATGTGCGGCTGCACGGCGACGCCGTCCTCCACCATGCCGAGCCTGTAGGACGCGTCGCTGAGGACGACGAGGTCGTCGTGCGCAAGCGCCAGGGCCAGCCCCAGGGACGCCGCGTCGCCCGTGGCGGCGCACACCGTCAGCATCGGCATCTCCAGGAGCTCCTTTATCACCGCGGCCATGCCGTCCGACAGGGCTTTGGCCTGCTCCGCCGGGTTCATGCTTCTCTTGAGGTCATCGTAGTCGATGCCGTCGCAGAAGGAGCCCGGGGACGAGGTGGTGATGAGGGCACGGCATGGCTCGGACGCTGCGTCCTCGCGGATCTTGGCAAGCTCGCTGCAGAGCTCCTTGAGACCCTCGTCGGTTAGGTAGTGATGGCCGTCGGCTCCGGTGAGCTTCAGATGGACGATGCCGTTGGTCTTCTCCCACTCGCAGAAGGACGACGACATGGTTGGCTAGTTGTTGGAAGATAGATGCGACTTTGTGAGGGGGATGGCTGTGGTCTGCTTAGCTAGTTAAACTGGTACTAACTTGCTTGCAATTTTTTTAGGGAAACCTTTGCTTGAAAATTAGACCTTTGGGTTTTGATATCATGTAGAACTGCATGCCCCAGCCAGTTCACCCAAAAGATCGAGCCGATGGAGAAAGATGGGCTATGCATTTATACATCAACAACAGCGGTGGTGGCCATGCGGTCTGGCTCGGCTGGGTGCTCCCTCCATGGCGGCTCAATGGGGATCGAAAGCTGATGGGTGGCCCGATAGCATGGTAGCTGGCTGCGGGCGTCGCAGGCCGGCAGACGGTTGTGGTTGCTGGCGGTGCTGGAACGACGGTGCTAGATCGCGGCTGTGTGGGTGCCACACTAGTAGAAAAAGACCCATTTGTCCCGGTTCATAAGGCCCATTTGTTCTGATTCGGGAACCGGGACTAAAGGGTTGGCACTAAAGCCCAATAACTTTAGTCCTGGTTCTTATACGAACCGGGACAGATGGGGCTTCACGTGGCCACTGCGACTTGTCCAGGCAGGGGGGCCTTTTGTCCCGGTTGGTAGCACCAATCGGGACCAAAAGGCATCACGCTTCAGCAATTCAGGGGGTGGGGTTTTTGTTTTTTGTTTTTTTAAAGGGGGAGGGGGGTTGGGGGTTTTGGTGGTTTTGTAGGGTTAATGTAGGGGTTTCATATATTAATTGTGTTAGTTAGCTAATAGAGAGAAGTGTCTTCTCTTATCTACGTGCTTGGTCGATGCTACGTACTATACGTATAAAGAGGACTCGACACACTAGCTAGTAAGCAAATGAAGGAAACTATTAAGTACAGAAGATCGTCATGAACATATACAAAGAGAAGTGATCGACCTCTCCTTCTCCGAGAGATTGGTCGAACAGCAAGTTTTTGTATATCTATCCAACGCTACTAGCTACATATATACAATATTAAGATCTTTTACAATCCCCTAACTTCTGAACTCAAATTCCACATGGTATTCTCCAGCTTTACTGATGACGTGGTCAAGAAAGAATCCCGCTAATTCCTTTTGAATTGCTCGTATGCAATCTTGTGGTAGGAGTTCATCAGGCATCTGCCACGTCTAATTTGAAGAAGGGGGTCAATACATATATATGAATGAAACTCAACACAAATGATGGTATAATAAAATGAAATGTGAATATTATTGCTTATGCACTTCAAATTGTCTTTTAGAGTAGCCCTGATTATTTTTGCAAGTCGCGTTGTAGATAAACTCGCAAACGTAGTATCCACAGTAATTATTTCCGGGTTCCTGCCACAAGCACTTTACAAGAAATAGAGTTCAATCAAACTGACAATGAAGTATTATAAATGGTTGTAAGGACATTTGTATCCCTAAGTGTTTTGGTGATTGATGACAACGCATTTGCGGACTAATCGTGTGCCATGAATTTTCCAGACTCTTCTCTGCTAGGCACAAGACGATTGGGTGCCCCTCGAAGACTGACGAAGACGGCGTCTTTTCTACGTTTCTTTTCGGTGGATTTGAGTCGTAGGAAAGCCGTACTATTAAGAGGGGGTCCGTGTTGGAAAGGTTTGGGTGGAATCATCACGTACACGTCTCCTTTTATCCCCTCCTTCCTTGGAGCTTCCTCCGTTTTTCCTGCCTCCTTTGACTGGCTGCTGATGTGGTTGCGGTAGTACTGCTCCTGGATCAACGGTAGTACCATGGGCATCCACAGTAGTACCGCGCGGTGGCGCGGAAGTACCGCTGGTGCTCAGGGTAGTACCGCTCCCCTGGAGCCGCACTACCGCTGCCCACCAGGCTAGTGCCGCCCCTTTGCGGTAGTAGGAGCGGATGTAATTTTTTACATCCGCAGCTGCCGCGGTAGTATCGCTTTCGTCGTGCGGTAGTACCGTGCTATGCGGTCAGGTAGTAGTACCGCCGCTCAGCAGTACTACTGTGTCGAGTTTTTGCCACTTCCGTTTTTTTTGCGAAAGTAGGCACGGAAGTTCCCCTTCTCCCTGGACGGGATTTCTGCCTTACGGTAGTACCGCATTGGGGGCGCGGTAGTACCGCACGTGCGGAAGTACCGTGGGACGGTACGATAGTACCGCATTGCCGTGCGGTAGTACCGCTTGGTTGCAAGCAGTAGTACCGCGCGGCCTTGCGGTAGTACCGCTGGCCAGGCGCGGTAGTACCGCTGGCCGCGGGCTGGTTGGTGGGTAACGGTTGGATCTTTTCCACACACTATATAAAGGGTCTCCTTCTTCCCCGTTGACTCACCTCTTCCACCATTAAAGCTCCATTATTTCTCCAAGCTCCATTTTCGCCCGATCTCATTCCCTAGCCAACAAAACTTGTTGATTTGCTTGGGAGTGGTTGAGAAGGCCCCGATCTACACTTCCACCAAGAGATATTTGATTCCCCCTACTAATCCCTTGCAGATCTTGTTACTCTTGGGTGTTTGAGCATCCTAGACGGCTGAGGTCACCGAGAAGCCATAGTCCATTGTGGTGAAGCTTCATGGTGTCGTTGGGAGCCTCCAATTGAGTTGTGGAGATTGCCCCAACCTCGTTTGTAAAGGTTCGGTCGCCGCCTCCAAGGGCACCAATAGTGGAATCACGGCATCTCGCATTGTGTGAGGGCGTGAGGAGATTACGGTGGCCCTAGTGGCTTCTTGGGGAGCATTGTGCCTCCACACCGCTCCAACGGAGACGTACTTCCTCTCAAAGGGAAGGAACTTCGGCAACACATCCTCATCTCCACCGTCTCCACTCTTGGTTATCTCGTGCCTTTACTTGTGTAGCTTATTTGTCTCATATATCTTGCTTGCTTGTGTTCCTATTCGTGTTGCATCATATAGGTTGCTCATCTAGTTGCATATCTAGACAACCTACTTTGATGCAAAGTTTAAATTGCTAAAGAAAAGCTAAAAATTGTTAGTTGCCTATTCACCCCCCCTCTAGTCAACCATATCGATCCTTTCAATTGGTATCAGAGCCTCGTCTCTTTATTAAGGACTTTACCATCCGAAGAGTATGGTTGATACCGTAGACGGTGCGGAGGAACACTCCGGTGTGAATCCTATCTCGTCTACGGGCGATGGGGGAACTTCGGTCTCTCGTGAGGAGTTCAATGTAGCCTTGGAGACATTGAAAACCTCCATGACGACCGAAGTTGAAAGCATGTTTACTAAATTTCTTGAGGGGCTTAAACTATCCACCGCACCGTTGAAAGTGGGGGATCCCGCCAACAAGGTGTCGGATGCTATCCCCGACAAAGGGGAAGCTAGTAGTGAAAAGGCTCCTTCTTCTAGTGGCAAGAATGGAACCGGCATCTTTGCCCATGTGGAACCACCACTTGTTTATGGTGGACCTGTTCCTTCCACTCATTTGAATCATGCCGGTCCTCCTCCTAAGATTGTGAAAAATGAGGATTTTGATTCTTGGGTTTACCGCTTTAAACGTCATTTAAATCATGTGAACACTAACCTTTGGAGAATCATTGAAGAAGGTTTCTATCCACATGATCCAAGAAACTTCACTCCTCGAGAAGCCGCGGACAATCAATTCAATGAGAATGCTCTCTTCATCATTCAAGATGCAATTCCACCCGAAGACCTACCTCATCTTCGTCCCTTCGCCTTGGCCAAAAATGCATGGCATTGTGTCGTGTCTCTCTACCGGGGAAGCGCAAGCATTCAACGCTCCAACTATGAAGTGGTACAAGATGAGGCCGATGAGTTTGCAATGAAGGAAGATGAAGAACCTCGTGAGCTTTATCGGAGAGTATCCAAACTCGCGGTCTCACTACGAGATCACGGGAGCAAGGACACGGATGACAATTGGATCAAGCGCAAATTCCTCAAGGCAATGATGCCCTACCACAAGGCCATGTCCTCCGTCATTCGTCAAAGACCAGACTTCCACACTTTCACCTCAAGCGAAGTGTTGGATGAGTTTGTGGCCATGAACATTTTGGACAAGACCGCCGACAATGCGGTGCTCCGTTCTCAACGGGCAAAGAAGCCTAACCTTGCTTTGAAGGCCAAGCTCACCGTGGAAGAAGAAGAAGAGGAAGAAGAGGAGAGCAACCCCGAAGATACGAAGCATGCATATCATGAACACATGGCACTTGCTTCAAGGCAATTTTGGAGCAAGAAAAACTCGAGGCCCAACTTTAGCAAAAACAACTCGAGTGGCACAAGGGGCAAGCAACGTGTAAGGACTTGCTACAATTGCGGCAACGTGAGTCATTTCGTTGCGGAATGCCCGTATGAGAAGAGGGAAGACAATGGTGGCAAACTCATCCGAAAGGACAAGGCCAAGTCGTTCCCCAACAAGAACAACTTCACCAAGAAGACTCCTCCCAAGGCCTTGGATGTGCAAGAAGAGTACAATTAGGATGATGACGATGATGAAGATGACGAGTCGGTTGCCATGGCCTCCGTTGCCATTGCAACAACGTCACGGGTGTCTCTCTTCGACTCACCCAACGAGAGCATCATCGCCAAGTGCCTCATGGCTAAAGCCACCAACAAGGTAACCTCCAACATCAAAACTACCATCATTAATCATCCTTCCTCAACGGATAGCATTAATGAATTTGAGGGAGCTAATGTGGAGGCTAACGAGTTTGAGGCCTTTATGGGCAAACTCAAGGGAAAATCCAAGAAGCACTTTGTTGCTCTCTTGGAACAACTTGGTGAGGCCAATGACATGATCGAGGCTCATGAAGACACCATCTCTAAGATGGAAGGGCATAGTCGTGACTATGCCGATGAGATTTCGGATCTTTCCAATGCTCTTGAGGAAGAGCGTGGTCTTCGTTCGGCTCTTGAGGAGTCACACAACGTTGATCATGCTAAGTTAGAGAAAGATTATGATCATGCCCTCGTTGTTTCTCGTGTGCTAAATTCCGAGAAGGCCCACAAGGCCTTGAAGGGGAGTTTGATATACTTGACAAGGCCCACAAGGC